ACAAGGTTCACAATATTCTTGCAGAAATGGTGATGGGGGGAATGGTACTAGAGACCAACATGAATGAGATTGTTATGCAAATTGATGCACAAAATAAACAGGTGAAACCTGAGGCTGGCTTAGTAGGTGCTCCAGCCCACACTGTATCAACTGTAAAGAATATGAATCTTCCTGAGATCCCAAGGAATATTAATATTGGTGACATCAATATAAAAGTGCCAAACCTGCCCTCTTTTAAATAAAAAATTAAAAAGGTCACTGTCCCGACCCGGGGGACAGTCAAACAGGTTTCCTGAGGGAAGGAGCGAGAGATGGGACGATCGACACAGTGTTACAACATGGAGACAATGCGGTGTCACAACTCTTCAGGGTCTTCGGGGTCGTCTGGAGACGATGCGGTGTTACAACTTTTTTACAACTCTTCAGGCTCTTCAGGGTCGTCTGGCGATTGTGGGCCAGGCATCATGGTTATATATATGTTGGTGGGCCGTGATTGGTTGTAAAAGGTGGGTTATGATTGGTTATAAAAGGTGGGTTATGATTGGTTGCTTTGTGGACCAATCATGAGGTGCCAGATATGCAAATCTGAGGGATTCTAGTGGCCAATCAGAGTATGGTTTTGAAGGTGAGGTTTTTGAAGGGGAGCCAATCATGGCCTTTGTCATTGTGTAATTGTTTGCTTTCTGAGAAATCGGTGATATTCACTGGTGCGTAGTCTCCCACAGGCCACTCCCAGGTAAAATCCAGGGCAAGTCATCTAAGTTTACCATGCAGTTGTTTACCAAAAATAGAGGAGAGTTTTACCTTTTGCTCTGGGATTTAAGTCAAGGTACTGTATAGAAATCATGTAAAATCAGTATGGAAGTTCAATGTTACTTCTCTTGCTCTGTGATTTTAAAGAAATTGAGTGGTTACAGTGTGATTTTCTTTTTCTTTTCTATACTGCATTCCTATGCCCATCAAAGGCATGCCTCTATGTATTGGCTAATACGGGATTTCAAAAGGTGTTTGAGATATTTCTTTAATTATGTGTGACCCAAAATGTTGGTGTTTTGTATGGATCATAAGTGCAGCATTCCTTAATTCTTTCTGCTATTTGTCATAATTATTATTTAAAGGACCAAGTATGTATTGAATGAAAACATGACCTTTTTCTCTTAATTTAAATAAACTCCAAGGTAACTGGACTTCTAAAGCAACTTTCTTTTTGCCTGTTACCTACTTTAGCAATAATTTTTTTTAACAACCCTCTGACCCAACAAAGTAAATAAAAGTACATTTTATCACTGTTAAAAAAATAATTGGAACAATAATAATAATTATCAGGAAAAACAATGAAAAGATATTGAATGATGAAGTGGGGATTTTAATGTCTCTGTATTGACTGACATGCATGGCATTCCCTTTTGAAAAAGCAATGTAACACACTGTAAAAATTATATGTGATTTGATGTAATATAAACAAGATTATGATGATAATAAATAAATAGAAAAAAAAAGTCTCCCAGAAAAGAAAAGCTTATTATTTGGCAACTTAGTGACTCAATTCTACCATTTAAAAAAGAACTAACACTGTCCCTTCTCAAACTCTTCCAAAAGAATTGAAGAGGAGGGGATATTTTCAAATCCATTTTATAAGGCTAGTAACCATGATGTCAAATCTAAACAAAGACACTACAGTAAAATAAAGCTACAGGTCAATATCATTGATAAACATACATGCAAAAATCTTCACAAAATAATAGTAAACCATAATCAACAGCATGTTAAAACAGTATTTGGGCTGGCTCTGTGGCGTGGTGGTTAAGGTAGCCAAATCCCACATGGATTGTTTGAATCCAAACTCTGACATCTTGGAAAACATACGGAGCATGCAAGTGGACATGCTCCAATTCTGACAGGGTGGTCAAATGGAGAAGAAGAAATGATGGCATGACCATGCTTCACTGTGAGGTGCTTTATTCCCCCTCTCTGTCTCTTCTTCTGTCTGTCTCTCTCTCTCTCTGGGAAGTGCTAATGCCCTTTGGAAAAAAATTTATAAAGATTATTCATCATGATCAAGTCTGATTTATCCCTGGAATGAAAGGATGATTCGATAAACACAAATTAACAATTGTAATTCACTATATTAAAAGAATAAAGGACAGAATGGTTGGTAATCATCTTGGTAGATGCATAAGAAGCTTTTAACAGAATTAAACATCCTTCCATGATAAAAACTCTCAACAAATTAGATGTAAAGAAAATGTTCCTCAGCACGATAATGATCACATATTAGAATTCCAGCTAAGAAGATACTCCATAGTGAGAAATCGAAAGCATCTCCTCTATGATCAGAAATAACATACAGATGCACACTATTCCCAGTTCTGTTCTGCATAGTACGAGGAAGTCCTAGTTAGAGAAATCAGGTAAGGAAACAAAAGCCATCCAAGAGGAAAAGAAAGAAGTTAAATCCATCTCGGTTTTCTGACAGCATTATTTTATATATAAAAATCCTGGGAACCAGCAGTTAGCGTAATGGGTATGTCGCTGGACTCCCACATAGTCGACCACGGTTCACGTCCCAGACCCAGTGGCTTAAAACTCACGCCGGGCATGTGTGTGTGTGTGTGTGCGCAAGATCCCGAGAAGAGAATGGAGGAGAAGTGATTGCAGTGTGGCCATCCCCCCTGGGGGGTGATTTCTCACTTACTGTCTCTCTGTCTCTCTCTGTCTGTCTGGTGAGCGCACGCGCCC